TACCTAAAAACATTATTGGTTTGTCCTGACAGCATGCTCAAAGTATGTGTGAGACGGAGTTTCCCCTTATCTCTAAGGTACAGTCTGTTTGTACCTCTTCCAGTACAGACTTGTTTCATTTTTATGGCAGTCTTTGGAAAATGCAGTATTCTTCACCACCGCCACTACCACCACAATTGAAAGGCATCTAACTTTCTTTTCTTGTGCTTATTCATTGTTCATCTTTCAAGTACATTATTGTTATGTACTGTCGAGTCACCTGTGACTCATAGCAACTCTATGTATAGCAACCTCCGAAGCCTGCCTTATCCTGAGCCAGTCTCACTGACTCCAACACATTACCCTACTACTATTCCAGTTATTAATCAACCATCTCATTTTGGGATCTTCCTCACCTGTACTGTCCCTCCACCCTTCAGGCATGATGCCTTTCTCCAAGGACTGGTCACCCTGGCCATATGCTCAGAGTATGTGAGATGGAGTTTCAGAATTCTTGCCTCCAGGGAGAAACTTTATTTTGCCCTCTTCAAGATAGACCTATTTGTTTTCTTGGCAGTCTGTGGTATGTTCAAGACTCTTCTCCAGCACCACACCTCATCTTGAGGAGAATGGGAATTCCAGAACATTGATTGTGCTCATCCTAAACCAGACCAGGAAGGAGTCTTCAGAACAGAGCAAAGAAACACTGCATGGTTCATAGTCAGGAAAGGAGTGTATCAGGGATGCATACTGTCTCCATATATTTTTAGTTTGTTTGCAGAACAGATCATTCAGGAGGCTGGGCTTCATGAGGAGGAATGTAGCATCACGATTGGAGGAAGACTCATCAACAACCTACAGTTTTGCTTGCTGAAACAGAGGAGGACCTGAAGCACTTGCTGCAGAAGGTCAAAGACTATAGTCCTCAATATAGATTTAAAGCTCAACATCAAAAAAACAAAGATTCAAATGCATAGGAGGCAATTTTAAAACCATGACTTAGAAAACCACACCTTCATTTTAAAAATGTCTTTGTTGTTCTTTAGCACATTGGAGAGGTCTTTAGTGCAACACATAATTTGATTTCTTGTCTGCTGCTACCATGACTGGTGATTGCAGAGTCAAGTAAAATGAAATTCTTGGCAGTTTAAGTCTGATTTTCCCTACTATCATGAAAGGGATTGGAACTGTCAATAATTTTTTCTTGGATCCATATTCAACACCCTAGGTGTACCCCTCAATTAGGAGACTAGGAGATGTATTGTTTTCGACAAGTCTGCTGTCAGACACCTCTCCAAAATACTTAAGAGTAGTGCTTGTCAGTTTGAAGACTAAGATTTGCATGATTCGGGCCCATAGTCGTTTCCTTCACTTGATATGTATCTGAAAGCAGGACAGTGAATAAAAGGAACAGTTGTTGTTGTTGTTGTTATGTGCCGTCGAGTCGTTTGCGACTCATAGCGACCCTATGTACAACAGCCCTAAACTGTGCTCTATCCTGTGCCAATCTCATTGCCTCTGACAAACCCATCCCGAGTACCCCAGTCACTGAATCAATCCACCTCATAGAGGGTCTTCCCCT